CCCCATGRAAGGGGAAGGATTTTAATGCCTTTGGACAGCCTGGGCATGGCTCAGTCAGGCAAGGTGCTTGTGGAGACGAGCAGGGCACTGACACTGCTTCCCTGGGCCAGACCAGGTGAGAGCTGRGGGTGCCCACTCAGCCAGCAAAGCCTCAATAAAGCCCCTCCATCCCTCCTCCTGTGTCCAGCTCCCTTGAGAAGCCCCACAGCTGCAGCAGAGGAGAGGTGGGTGCTGGGGGAGGTGGTGGGACCTGCTGGGTGCAGGGAGGCTGAGGGGGAATGGAGGATGTGGGTGATGTCCGAGCACATTCCTGGAGCASGGGGACTGTGGCACAGGAATGTCACTGCACCCGCTCAGTGCAGCTGTTCCTGCCCACAGGGGCTGCTTCTGTTCACACACACATTCCCCATTGGTCCTGCAAAGGCTTCACAGGTGACTGAGCCCTGTGACCACAATCACACAAAGACCTTCCTTTTCCTGACCAGAAGAGAATCATTGGACTAAGATCAATTCYCTCTTCTGGAGGTCCCATGGCAGAGCACAGCCAGGGGTGGTGGTGAAAGCTCAGGGGAGCTGGGATGAGCTGTGCTGTGCATCCCTGCAATACTCAGATCTGTACTCCAACAGCCCTGTGGAGCTCAGGTCTCTACAAACTCATTACAGAGGCTCTAAGTCTGCCTGCACACATTTCACTGTTGTGAATCCCCATGGCAGAGCTCCCCATACTGGGATGGGTATTTCTGTCCAGGACCCTGGCTCTCCCAGGGGGTCTGGYCCTCACACAGCCCTTCACCACCCAGCCCCAGTGCTTGGCCTTTTTTTCTGAGGTGCTTTTGACGGTAAAACATTTATTTTCCCTTGCTGAATGTTACTATAACCAGATCTTCCTCTCCCTCCACAGAGGGCCATAAATCGGCCACCTCCTCCTATCAATACCGCTGATATTTAGTCTACTGCTGCTCCCAGCATAAGTCACAGGGAGCAGCACATAAACAGCTCCATTAATTACATGTGCATTTATCTCCCTGCTCAACCCTTCACAGCCAGGGAAAACATTGAACCAGCTGCACATACACAGCTAAAAGCCTTATCTTCCTCCTGCCCTCATCTACCTTGGCTCAGAGAGCCCCAGGATGTGCCTCCAATGGATCCACACACACCAAGGGTGGTTCAGTCCCCTTTCCTGGACAGTTATCAGCTCACCTTGGGCATGGAGATGTTGTCCCACCACCTCTGCACTGGCCAAGGACACATGTGTGGCTGGCATGGCAGGGGTGCAATGTCCCCTGTCCCCTCATGGCATCACAGAGGAGACACTGACTGCTCCCCCGTCCATCCCACCCCARCCTTTCCAAGTGTCCCAAGCCATGGCTGACCCTGCCCTACCCTGCTAAGTGCCCTGGAGCTGCCCTGCCACCCCATGACCACTTTGAAGACACATCCCAGGACCCCTCACTCAGCTCCTAGGCCAAAGCACCACTGTGGCCCTTCTCCCACCCCAYAGGCACCACTAGCACCTGCTTGTTTCTGGTCACTGGTGAGCAAYGAGGTCCCAAAGGATCACAGTGGGCTGGGGGCAGGCTCTGCACAGCRCCCAGCCTGGGGGGCTGTACCTCACTGCTGCTTCCAGCACCCCCAAATCCCCTCTGACACCCAGCACAGCTCACACAGGTGCTCTCACTCTCTCCAGGAGCAGCAGGGGCTGGGTGATGGTCAGACAAAATGGTCAGGACTTTCAAGGTCAGGGCTCTGTGCTGTGACACATCCAGTCGCCTCCTCATTTAATGGATCCTCACCCATCGATCCATTGGCTCTCACTCCTCTGCAGGCTGTGAGAGTGAAGCCTGCCCCAGCTGCTGGATCATTACACCGTTTACAGCATATGCAGAATTAGAGAAAAAAAAATCCTTCCAGTTTATCTGACACTGTTCCTGCTCATCTGAGGAAGAAACCATCGCCCTGGCACCCAGCCCACCATGAGCCCTCCAAGATCAAACACAGGGTTTTGTGGCCTACTCAAAACCATAGCCAGAAGCTACTTTACCCCCACAAATAACAGAGCATATCAGGCTCAGATGGAAAAGACAAAAAGACATGACCTGCTGACACTCAGCATGCTCCCAGCTGAGATAAATGGGCTCCTGGTCCATTCCCTTGGGAGTTTTTATCTTAAATTAAGAGCACTGCAAGTCCCCATGTTCCAGTTAAAATTTAATACAAGCATATTTAACTGGAAGCAAAAAATGAATAGGCTAAACCCAGCTCACATCAAGCCCAAGAGTGGGCAGGGAGATGAGGGACGCTTGGCTGAAACCTCACTTAGTGTGAGTTTTCCAGTGAGCTTTCCACAGAGATTTATCACTGGGGTTAGAGAAGTTATTTTGGTTTGTGGATTTATTTTGTTTTCAAGCACTCTTCCAAATTTGCTCCCTGGTATGAGGAGGCAGCAAACAGCACTCCCAGACCCTGGTACAGCCCCTACACGGGTCACTGGGTATGTTTCTGTTTATTAAACAATGGAGAAATGGGGCTCTGGCCCCCAAAACCTTGGAAATAGAGATATGTTYCCTGTGTCAGGGCAGAATGGGAGGTGAGGGAAGGGTGTTAAACCCCTCAGGAACCTTGGGGGAAGCAGAGGAGGAGGAGCCAGAGAGGGTTCAACCCCACGTGTGGCCCCTTCCCACAGTCTCAGCACCACTCCAGGCTCCACTCTCAGCTCTTAGAAGGGAATGAAGGGCTCGGCTGTGAGAGGCTCTGGATGTGCTGGCTGCCATGATTGCTCCTAATTAACGTGTTGCAAACACATTCCTTACCATAAAAAGCCAAGGAGCACACGGAGCCCTCCCCTGGCGCTGTGCAGAGCTGGACACGAGTTCAGCCCCGAGACTCCCCCGCTCCCACTCTCAGGAAGGGGTAGCTCAGGCCAAAATGTGCTGCTGCTCCCAAAGCAGGTCTGGCTCCCCACATTCATCCCCCGTGAAGGGGAGAGGGAGGCAGTGAGGGAATGCTTAGAGCCAGGCTGAGTGGGAGGCTCGATTTAGGAAATGGGGACCTAATGGCTCRCTTTTCCTTTAACTCAGGGAAATGAGGGTCTTGATTCCCAGAACGGAATCCCCATTCCTGCAGGGAATCACCACCTCCAGCTGCTCCTCACTGCACCAAGCTCAGCTCTCAGCCCCCAGCTGCCTCTTACCCCCATTCCCTCCACCAGATGCAGCCAGGGCAYCCCTGGGGTAGAAACAACCCAGTCAGCTACTGCTGCTGGTAGTGGAGTGAGCAGGACACTGCATCCCATCTCTGGCTGCATCTCCCTCCCAGCCCTGGTCTGGTACAGCTTTCCTGGGGGGACAGGCTGACAGCAAAGCCCAAAAAGGTCTCTTTTGGTGTGGGCCATGCAGAGGCWTTCCCAGAGCCTCTGGAGAACAGGATGTGGCCCTGTCCCAGACCCTTGAACACATTGAATCTCACACATTATTTTTGGGCCCTGGCACAAAAGAATCAGCTCAGGAAGGATTGCAGCTCTTGCACATAAAGCTCAGGTGTTGCAGAAATGCTGCAGGCAAAGCTCCCTCTCTCCTCTCCTGGCTTTGCCTGTGACCGTTCCGGGTGAATTGCCTCGCCCTGGGATCAGCTGCAATAAAACATGTTTTACAGCTCAGCCTGATTTCCACACACTCTCCTCAAGAAAGAAATTCGTATCAGACTGCTGCAGAGGCAGAAACAGATCCAGAAAGATGGAATCCAGCTCCTTCTGGTCAATGTCAGGGTGTATATCCAGCAGACTCAAGACTGCACAAAACCCAAGTCAGCAGAGCTTTGCTTATGTTTAAAAACATTGTCCGGCGCCTGCCGGCCTCCGGAGGCTCTTGGAGCTGGCAGAGGTTAAAAATTGAGTGCAGGATCTCAGGTTTCCTCAGACATCTGAGATTTGACAGAGAAGGCATGGTGAGCCCTCCCTGCAGGGGAGTGCAGACACAAAAACAGTCGGGTGCAGCGGTCAAGACTTTAACTCACACCATAGTCCAGCACTGGGCTAAACAAACCTGCCAAATCTGCYGGTTTTCAGGCATTTGCCACACCAGGCTAAGGAAGAAGAGGTCAGGAGCTCAGAAAGGCCAGGAGCTACCTGAGTAACATCTACCTGAGGCAGCACAGCCCAGACAGGCAGGACCTGTGCTCTCATCCAGGCTCTCACATCCAACAGCACTTCCACTGCAGAGCTCATCAGACACCAGCAAACACTGCTRTAAACATGACTCAGGTGAATAATGGGTTTGCTCCAAAGTGCAAAGCAGCAGTTATTGTGAGTGCTCCTCGCTCTATGGAAACCCTGGATTTCAATTGTTACACRCAAACAATGGAGCAGGCAGCAGCAGAGAGGGAGGGGGAGCAGGAAGGGCCTGGCCAGAGACCTCAGATACAACACAGGTGCTCCAATGCTCTGAAAGGCCTGAGTGCAAAGTGTCAGAGTCCAGCTCTGCCAGAATTGCTCCAAGGCATGTGGGAGAACACTTGTTTCTCATGTGATACCCATGGGTTAAATGAAGAGAATGGGTTTGGCTTGCAGGGAAGAGATTTATCAGATTTAGGAAGACAGGAGACAAAAAGAGGGATRGGAAGGTGCTGAGTGGAAATCATTCTGGGAACACTTATACACGTGCTCTGCCTCAGGTCAGTGAGGAGCAGCATCCAGCCAGGCCACTGAGGAGCTCCCTCTGCTTCCCAYGGCTCTGCCCCAGCCCCAGTCCCTGCCATCACCCCACTGCCACTGCCTCACGTGGAAGAGAGCACTGACACAGGTCYGATTTTGGGGTAAAACATCCCTGGATGTGACTGAACTGCAGCCTTGCCAGGCACCACCACAGCCAGGCATCCCCACACCCCAGAATCAGCAGTGAGCCCCATCACTGAACTAAAGAGTTGAGATTAACAATGTGAAAATAATTTGGGATCCTACAGAACTGAGATTCCCATCAGGAAAGCAGGTGGCACTATCTGGAGCTCACAGCCTCCTGCCCTTAACAGAAGGGCTGCACTCATAAAGGGTTTTCTTGGTGGTATATTTTGTATAGTTTTCTTTCTTGTTTTTTGAAACACACTCTCCATGTCTGCTGCACATCAAGGCATTAGCACAAACCCAGGGTGAGAGGATGTGCAAATGTTAGAGCCCATAAGGCAGACTTTGCCTTATCCATGGATCTGGAGCAAAGACAGCCAGRAGTTAGTGTTTCCACAGGTTTATAAATCTGATAAATACAAGTATAACACCCTGCCCACCACAATGGGGCAGGGGAGAAGGGGAGTCCCAAGGGTTGCTGAGAGAGCACTGGCTTGTACTTGGCAGCTGGAGAGTTCAGGACAGCTGGAGATTTATGCTGATGTGTCAAACAGTTTCTCGATCATCTCCCCCACCTGGTCGACCTGGTATTTGATGTATTTCTCAGGGTTCTTGGTGAAGGGCACGTTGCCATATCTGCAAAAGAAAACAGGTGACAAACGACTGGAACACAGCAAAGAGACCCACTGGCCCCTCCTCTGCCACAAATCAGCTCCACCCCAGCACATCCCACTTGAATGGGACAAGGGCAMGTGACCTGGTTACAACCAGCCTCACAAATGTTACATGAACAGCCCAGGGTGGCTCAGGCCTTTGTGCTCACCAAAGAATCAGGGTAACTGATGTTTGCAAATACTCAAGGTCAGCTTGGGGATATCTGAGTGTGGAGCTGTGCAAGGCCTCAAAGACCTCAGWTAAGCCAAAGGAGAGAGGATGATGTTGCAGGAGGTCTCACCTGTTCAAGAAGGCACCATAGGTCTCTTTCACAATGGTTTTCTGTGCCCGGCGGATTTTGTCCCGTTGCTCCATGTCAGGAATTGCCCAGGCCTTCTGGATCTTACACAGTTCCTCCAGCCCATCATTAAATCCCTGTCCAAAGGGAAACTCAGTGAGCATCCCACCTGCAATCTCCACACTGAGTCTGCTGCTCCTTCCCTCCCCTGCTGATCATCAATAGTTCTCCTCCACAGGCAGATCTGTGTCTCCCAATCARCCAGGGGATGTTGTGACACCATCCCATATCTCCTTACCTTAAAGCGTTCCTTTATCATCTGCCTCTCCTTGTCCTTGAGCTGCAACAAGGAGGGAAAGGATCTTATTTCATCTCCAGGAATAAATACCCAACACCAATGTTTGCCTACAATTCCCCATCCAACCTAAGCAATATCCAGTACTTGCTTTGGATTCCCTCTCCTACATCAGTGAGGACAGAGCTGCAGAGAGCAGCAAACCCCAGCCTCAGCAAGAGGCTTTCAGCTGAAGGCGGTTTAACAAGGACAATTTTCAGCCAGAACAGACAGGTCTCAGGGTTTTGAAAATCCAAAATAGAGGCATCTGCTCAGGTGAAGATATAAAGAATGGAGGYAGAGATGAGAGACCTGGATGAATTTGTGGCAGGGGAGATCAGAGGCAGTGCTGCTCTCCACCTGGTGCCAGCCACAGTGTCCATTCTGCAGAGCAATACTGGCATGAGAGATAAAGAAGGTTTCTGAGAATTTTTTAATATGACAAAAGAGAAGATGTTTCTGGAAGCTTCTGTCCGGTCAATCCCATCCTTGCCTATCCGCTCACCTTCACTCCTGGTTGAAAGACAGGCAGGTTTCTCTCCAAGATGTAATCTGTCACCTTCAACCAGCTGCACATGCAATGCAATGGGAGAGAGGCAAAGAGTTACTCACACCTCTACCAGAGCATCTCTGTCTTCACCCATGACCCAAAGGCCAACTCAGACAGTACACATCCCAAAACTTTTCACAGTGACCCACACCCAAGTTCGATTAATCACTAAAAGTGAAAYACTTTAGTTTTAGACAAGTTTCTCATTTAGGTTAATCTCTCCCGCTGCTCCAGCAGCAGTGGCTCCCAAAGCAACAAAAGCAAGGGAAAGGCAGAGGATGTCACCAACCTGCGCTGGTAGGTCTGGATCTGCTGCTCAATCAGCTCCCGGTAGGACCTCTCGGCCGTTTTCTGTGTCACTGCCACCAGCTGGATCAGCTCAGACCTGGAAGAGCAGGAAACCTGAGCAAACACCTGAGCCAGCTGCTCTCAGGATGGCAGCATTTCAAACCCCCATCCCCAAGTTCCTTTCAGCCCTTCACAATAGAATGTTTTTTGGGAGACAGAAGCAACTCCACTTTCCAAAGCCACATCCTCAATCCTCCCAAGATCAAAGGATTCTCTAAAACCTAAGGCATTTCCTAATGCTTTTATCTTCCACTCTCAGGTAATGTGATGTTTATAATACTGCAAAACCTTCAAAGAGGCATTTTCAAGAATGGTAGAAAAAGCAGGTATGAGATGGACTGGCAAGTAAACGCTCTCAATGCAGAGCTCTGCTCCAAAACCAAATCCAATCAGCCTTGGACTTGAGGGAGATTCACTCAGACACACACTTACTTCTCCAGAGATTTCAGAATGTAGTTGTAGTTGTTATGCAGAAAAATGGCACTCAAAGCTGGGTCTTCATAAACCTTGGATTTGCTAAGAAGGTTAAGCTGTAAGTTGCCCAGTACTTTGCCTTAAAAGAGGGAAAAACAGAGAACAAGAAGTTTTGCAMTGAAACTTTTTATTATTGACAAAGCAAACTGAGCTGTGGGCCCACAGACCTGACTGTCTCTAAAAAAGGCAACAATCACCTGTATTTAACAATCCTTACACAGAGTTTTCCTCAGCAATTCACAAAAACCACTCTGCAAACTACTGCCTTCATTGCCCTGGCAATACWGGTGTATTTTGAGTTCAGAGGAAATCCCAGGACCTGCCACAAAGCAGGCTCAGGTCTCACAGAAGCTGAAGGATCTGATCTCCATTGTAACAGAGGTAGAAACTATGATCTGATCTCATTCTCTTACTGTTAAACTCCCCTTTGGCAGCTAGGAGCYTTCGTGGGGTTGAAGGTGACAATGGTTTCAGGCAAGAGCTCTGCAGCACAGTGAGGTGCTGCACTGTGCTTTCTTCTGTCCTATTCTAACAGTCTGAAACTCCCAGTCTGACCCTTTTTCATCCCTCCCATCAGACTCAAGCTCAAACATGGTAAGACCACACGGAGAAGAGACACAGCCTGTGCTCTTCACYCAGGAATGAGCCAAGTGAAGGAGTGCCCACGGGGCAGAAGCAGGAAGGTGTGCAGGGTACTCACAGATGTAGGTGCTCAGCAGCCGCCTGCTGAACTCTGAGCTGTAGCTACTGGCTGAGGAGCTGGTCTCTGAAAAGAAAAGWCTTAGGCCAGTTAACATGCCCTGGGAATGGGGGATTGTGTGGCCAGCCTGCCTCTATTCCAACARGAATTCTGCTCTGCACCCCAGCAGAAACCTCTCCTTTCCTTCCAAATGCTTAGTGAACATCCTCTTGATCAGACAGAGTCATTAAACTCCTCCTCCCCATCCTTCCCCCAACACCTGAAAAGGGTTGGTAAGCACTAGAAGCTGCCAGTCAGAGAACAATGAGCTGGAGCTGTTAACAGCAAGCACACAACAGTAATTGAAACAAGCAGAAGGGCTCTGGAAAGCTTCAGCCATTGCCATGGTTGCTGACAGGGCCTGCCTGGCTCTAGGAGGGAAGTGCCAGCATGGGAGGCTGCCCCTACAGGCACTGAGTGACTCCAGGCTGGCACATGCCCCTCTGTCTGGAGATGGCTTTCTGCCCTCATGGGCTGTGGGCATGGGGCCCATGGGACACGTGGGGTGGCCACCTCCTCCTGCCCCCTCCAGAGAGTTTGGCAGCCAGGCCTAGCTCGGGTGGTCCGAGTTCAGCAGCACCCCATGGGAAAGGCCTCGAGGCTCCTGTTGCTGGGAGCTGGACAATAAGGAGCTGAGTGCACACGGGATAAAGCATGACACCAGCTGGGCCAATCTGCTACCTGTGCCAAAGAGATTCAGTGCCATCAGAGTGTCTCGAGGCTGTTTCAGCTCTTGTGGCATCCCTCATTGTCTGCTGGTAACAAGCTCTCCCTATTCTCTCCATTCCACTGGCAAGGATTACTTACCCTCCCCTTCTTCCCCTTTTCAATTATGTGTTAATTTATTTACAAGTGCTGGAGCATAAAGAATTAACATACATCACCAGAGTCCAAGGCAGTATGAACAGGTAGGTGTTGGTAAGTTTGCTTACCTCTGGGATCTAAAGGAATATTGTATGTGTCCCCAAGAACTACAGAGATTAGGCAGAGCAGAGAGAAAAGGGGAGGGATTGAGAGAGAAAAAGAAACGCAAAAGTGCAAAAAGACAGGTTAGAGACCACCATCCCTTTGAGAACAAAGCAGATATTAACACAGAGCAGCCACAGGCAGGTGCACAGCAGAGCAGGCAGGAGTCCTTCCAAGGCCACAAATGGAGTGGAGATCACAGAGGAAAGGAAGAGTCCAACCTCCTTCCACTGTAGAGACATGGTTTGCATTGTCATTGATTGTATTTTGCAACACATCCCATTCCAAATCGGCTCCAGCCCGTTTTCAAGGCAAAGCTACCTCAAGTCTGTGCTCYCTTTTCAATCAGCTAAGACAGATCTCAGTACAAGACAACATGTCAAGACTTTCAAACCAGAGTGCTGACATCACTATTCAGGCAACAACATGGGAAACAGTTGATTGTTCCAAGGAAAAGCTTAGACCACTTCTTTGGCCAAGGAAAGAAAGCCAAGACCAAGAAGGGTCTGAGCACACTGAGCTTGCAAGTGGAGAGGGACAAGGCAATGGCTAGAGGAGATGTGCCAGAAGCAGAGACTTCCTAGTYTGAGTTGATTTAGAATTGGTGGAAATTTCCAAGCAGGACTTTGCAGGTAACAGTCTGGAGGCAGCTCTAAGCTTCCTCCTACCCTCTGCTTCTAATGGGCTCTTTAACCTTGTCCAGTCTGTGCCTCCTCAGGGCCCTGTGGCCCCTGAATCTCCAGTTCTCCATCTCTCTAGTTTGCTCTGTTCCATCCTGCTTGAAATCATGAGCTCTGCCAAGGCCAAGAGCTCACTGGAGAACTGGTAGCTGCTGCTCTACACAGAACCAAGAATCCCAATCCAGCTGATAAGCAGCACCACCCTGCTACACAGGCAGCTCTCAGCTTTTGATCTATCCAGATATTTCTGCAATGAGTCTCKTCAGCAACCTGTAGAGCAGAACTAAAACTTGATAGAGCACACAAATAGCTCTGGAGTCCCAGCTTGCCCATGTCTAGAGGCTGAGGGGACTCTCGCTGCTGCTGTTGTACTCTGAGCAGAGGATGTGGCAGAACAATGTGCTGCTCACCACACAGAGCCCATCTGGGCCAGCCACTCTCACTCCAGTACAGTCACACAGCACCAGGTCAGTGCCAGACTTGGAGCTAAATGCCCCAGGCAGCCTCTCTCAGAGCACATCAGCAATAAACACCACCCCCACTGCTGACAGGAGCCAGCAGGGAACTCTGCATCCCTTGGAGTTCTCCAGATAGCCAACTATGTGGTCAAGGCAGACCAGAGGACAAGACAAACCACAGGGTGAAGGACAGGAGGAGAACAAGCTCACAGTGCAYGTTGAGGTTTGGTCATTTCAGGGAAGATGTCCAGGCAATCTTAAGAAGGAACTGCATGCCCAAGCAAGCCCCATGCATGTATGTACCTTGAGATGCCAGCATGGCACCTGCTGTCTCCTGGAAATCCAGTAATTGCTGKAGGAAAAGGATGGCCTGGAAGAAAGGGAGGGAAGTTAGGAGCAACCAGCATTACATCTCCTATGCTCTGCTATTAASGATCATGAAGGACCACCTGTTCCCACCCACTTAAAAGCCTTCAAGAAACAAATCACTGCACTCCTTTGAGCTGCTGGGTTTTCCCACACAGTCAAGCCATGTTTGAGCAAAGGTCACCAGCTCATCCTGCCACGGAAACCAGGTAATTGTGTAATTGCTAATGCCAAGACACCTTAATTTGGGAAGTTTCCCTACTGCTCTTCTAAAAATCCATTCAGAAGCTGTTTTCCACAAAGGGTGGTTCAAACCATCATCACTTACATTGCTGGTGAGTTCATGAACTGTCCCATCTTTTGGCATGTTATATTCCTTATCTGGATCATTCTAAAAAGGGAAGAGAGAAGGTGAGCATGTAAGGGAAGTGGGCACACCTACAATACAACTGCTACTACAAGTAAGCTGAAGGCTTCTTTATTCAGCTTCTCCCAACACCCTCAKGCCCAGCTCTTGCAGTGCCATCTCCCAGTGCTCAGAAACCAGAGCTGCCATGCAYCAGCAGCTCAGGACCTTAGGGGTCCGTTCAGCCTGTGACCATCACACCTTCAGCTCACCTACCATTCACCAAGMCCACTTACACAGGAATATGAGTACTCCAAAACTTTCCAAGGCAGAAATTTTCCTTTCTTTTTAAAKAGGATTCAATTCTGAGATGGATTTGGTGTCTGCAGAGGCCTGGGAGCTCATGTCAAATTACTTGTAGTAGACTTGTTAAGGGTCTTGGGCAAAGGCCTTCTTTGTTTGAAACCAGCACCAAGCRTTTGGGATCTGACTGTCCCATCCAGTAAGTTCCTGCTTCAGTCAGAAACTGCATRGTCTCATGGAAGCTGAAAGCTGAACCAGGGGTTTTGCACAGAAAACCCCTCTTCCAAGCTTGATCTAAGACCACTGAGGAGAATCCTACCTTAATATTGTCRGCAAACTCTTCCAGTGCCTTTGCACCAGTGGTCTCCATGGAAGTGATCAGCCCTGGCAGTTTGTTCTTAGTGCCTGCTGCAGTTCCCTGGATTAGTTCCACAACAGATCAGAAAAGGAAAACAAATATCTGAATTTCCATCCAGCACCTACCCTCTCTCATCCCTCATCCCAGCATCTCATTCTCAGCTCCCCATGTACCAGAAGAATATTTACAGCATCATCAAAAACACATGAAATCCCACATTCTCCAGGCAGAAAGAAAAGATGTTGTGACCCTTATKGTGACCAGGACTTGCTACCTCTCACGTGTCCTCTTACACAATATCTGAGCTCAGAGACCACGAGAACAGAAAAATAATGTAGGTGGTCCATCAGGGGGTCAGGACTTGAACTGTAAAGAGCTGTTGCTGAGAGATGCTGAGTTACTGGTTGCAAAGTGCATTTGTGTCACTTCCAGTCCATACTGGAGGACAGAAGCAGCACGGCTTTGCTCAAAGCCACTGTGATAATTCATTTCAAAAAGTTCTCTGGACARTCCAAGCCACAGGATCTACTCCAATCCCATCAAATTTACCTGCAAGACCTGGTCAAATTCTGGCTTCATCTGCTTGAGATGCTTCAGGATGGGGAAGATTGTGAGCACAGCTGAATAGTCGTGTCGGATGATGGCTTTCCGGGCAGCTGAGACAATGTTATCACCCTCCATGATCAAGTTATCCAATGACTCCTGCAACAAAGCCAGASACTCAGGAGGAGGCAGCAGGACTTTTGCCCAGGCAACACAAAAGGCTCAATGCAGGACACCCATTCCAGATGCCCACTTGGCTCATGGGTCATTTGTGGGGGGCCCCAAGCACGTGCTCTCCAGGCTTTGTGCAGGCCCCAGTTCCTTGAACAGCTCCTGGAAGACAACCCCAGCATCCTCCACAAGCACAGGGACTCAACTGACCTGGATGAGAGAATCAAAGGTCTTCTTCTGGTGGTGCTCTGGGACAATTTCTGTCAGGAGCTGGTACTCGCTCTGGGCCAGTTTGACAAAGGCACTGACGCAGTGGATGTAGGCGTCGATCTCGATGTCGAAGACGTCRTCCCTCCCTGCAAGGCCAAGATGCCTTTGGTTTACACAAGGAACATGAAGTTGGTTCTGGCTTTGTACCCATCCATGTGTGAGAACAAGAGTCATCTTCTCACCACACCTGCCCTGCGTTTGTTGTGGGAAGCTCTGAGTACCCTGCAGGAGGCAGGAAAAGTCACCCGCAGTTCAGGAAATGCACATCAGGGCACCACCTCTTTCCAGCCTCGTGACAGAAGGGAAGTTTGGAGCTCTTCTGGGATACAGACTAAATTTAATCAARGGCTTGAACACAAAGTACTAAACTCAGGAAGGTCTGAGGTGAATTATTCAATATCTCTGCTTGTATTTTTAGAATTCCTTATCTCCATCCGTCATGCAGATGAAGAACTGCCATTTGGCATCAACACTTCTGGGAAATAAAGGCTGTCCTGGAAGGCAGCTTCTTCCCACTTGCAGAAATAAGATAAAAATCAGGCTGATGAACATTTACATCCTATGAAGCAGGAATATCAGCACAGTTAGGTGAGTTACCTGYCACACAATGCTGCATACAAATGCAAATACCTAAGTCCTAGAATATGCATGTCTTGGTCAAAGATCCATCAAAAATCCTACATGGTAGGCATGAGAAGTGATACAAGGGTCAGCACCAACCCATGCCAACCACTGCTGGATGTGTCTGCAGGACAGACACAGACAGACACCATCCTGCAGGACAGTAAGATGACAGAGGCCTTCTCTAAGCTATAGGCTGCTGCTTCTCTTCTCCCAGCAACTTTTGATGGAGAAAGAACCAATTCTTCCCTATGCTGACAGGTCACTCATTGACATTTAAAAAGTTTTGTCAGCAGAGGACACACAGACTGCCCATGGTGCAGTGGCCCACTGTAGCATTTGCTGCATTGATCCCCTTCCTGCTTGCTTTGCTTCAGCACCCAGCAGACCAGCAGGAAAATGTCCCTCAGCATGGTGACCTTTGGCTGGACAAAKTTGGGGTTCCCTGTCTGAGGGCTTRGGGAGGGAATAATTAGTAAGAGTCAATTCTACTGAGAGGAGCCAGAGCTTCTTAGCCAGAGGAGGCTCATGCTTTGGGACTGCCCATGGAGGAGAACAGCCCCAGCTACACCACGACAGTGGGACATGCTGGGAAGCAGGGGGGACCAGCTGGCTCCCAGTGCCAACCCGGTACTTACCCGCAGCCGGCCCGTGCTTGTCGCTCAGGGCATCGGAAAGGTGCTTAACACGCAAGTCATGCTCATGACCTAGTGAGATGGCAGCCGCACAAACAGAAGGCGCAATTTATCCAGGGTGCTCACAGCAAGGATGCTCACTCTGCTGGAAGCTGCTTCGAGCCTGGCTTATGGCATCTGATGGACATCTTTTTCCCTACACAGTCCCAGGAATGCTTCCTGACCAAATCCTTTTGTTGGGCTATATAAGCAGTAGCAACCTTTTGAAACCTGATGAGAAGTGTGAATTGTTTCCTGGAACCTTAGAGTTGTTTACTCGAACCTTCTGCCATACATCTGAATGGGATACCAGGAACCAAAATCCATTTTTTACCAACAACAATCACAAATCCAAGCCTCTCTCCTGCTCATCATGAGATTTTTCCCCCACATGAGTGATATTAGTCACCCTCTGGGGTTTAGCAGACTGCAGAAGAGRTGCTGAAGAGACCAGCTTTGGATGGATTCATAGCAGGAGGCAGGAATGTCTTAGAGATGCTTTGAAGCCTCTTCYTCCTTATCTGGCACAACCTCTAGAAGCAGAGGAGGTCAGAAAACAGGAGATAGCCATTTAGGCTATCTAGGTCATATACAGGCACAAAGCACTGAGCTACCTGTGGTCCAACACTTCAGCATCAGGTTTGGAAAGGTCACTAGGAAAATGAATGTCTCAAAGTCCAGGCAAAAAGAAAACAGTATCCCACAAGCAGATATCAGGAGAGCTTCCATTATCCAGGTGGCTGTGGTGGGTCAATGTTAAAATAACTTTCCTCTCCACTTCTACTCACTTTTACAGAGACTTTGAAATTCAGATACTAAATTCTGAAGAAATAGAATAAATRAARTAAAAATAATTTGGTTCCCCAATCCAAAGCTGTCCACCAAGCAMTGAACTAATGGAAGCCCCGCTTGGGAAAGCAAGACTGATACACAGAGAAAGTCAAGGGTGAAGTAGCTCRAGCTGTGATTACCTTCCATAGGAATGAGGTTAGAGGCCCCCTTTTTCCCATCTAGACCATGCTGAGAGTACTGTTTCAGAAGGTTCTGAGCCTTACGGATCGTGCCTGTCACCAGAACCAGAGAGAAGAGACAAGAAGACCTAGAAAATGAGTGAAAGAAAACAAACCCAGAACACCAGCCCTCCACCAGCAAGTCACCTGGGCCCAGCAAGAGSGTGCTGGGCACCAATGAGGATGCTCAGCACGGGAACGTGAACCCCAAACTCATGTCCAAGTGTGCAGATACAATGGCATTTCCAGAATGTGTCCCTGCTTTGAGGCTGGGGGTGTAAATTCCAGCCAGGGATACAGAATCACTTTGGACAGGCAGCATGGTATGGCTGAGTGATAAACACAATCAGAGAAKGRAAGGCATGAAGCTCCCATCCCTGTRAAGGGTTTATTGAATTTGGTACTGAAGGTTTGCTGCTTTTCCTCAGCTGTGGAAGCAGGGCTTTGCACATGGACAAATCCTGTCTGGCAACACGATGCCTGCTCCTTGGAACCACAACTGCTGCCACTTGGTAAGAGGTGCCTTTCCAAGGGGTATTTTCTGAGCATAATCAATAAAGAGCCATCAGGAGTCCCAGAGCCGAGACAAGGAATGGTACAGGAAGCAGTAAAAGGGTGACAACCTCTGGGCTTTTTTTGCAGCAGCAATTCCCATCACAGGAATTCCAGAGTAATGGATGCTGCCCACCCATGTCTAACTTGCACTAAGCCACCCTAATCCCCAAGACACTTCTCTTCTAAAGAACTGCAAATCAATTAAAACCATGGAAAAAAAATAACACTGGGTTAAAAGATTTATACTTTAAACACACAAAAACCAGACAGAACTGAACAAAAGGCAGTGCTGGATATACAGCTGGAAAGCACAAAACAAAGCATTAATGTGACAACTGAAGCCTAGGCAGTGTTTCCACATTAAAAGGTTAGTTGTCATGCAACAAGCTACAATTATCACAAGCACACGGACACCCTCTCACAGCAGAGCTTTGCAGTGGCCTGCACAACAGGGAACTGGAAGTTTTGGGAAGGTGGAAGGGGTTTCTATAGGAGACCCAAATGAAACAGAACTGGGCTGAGTAAATGAAGAAGCCAAAAAAATAAAAATGCTGCTGGCAAAATTAAGAATTGTTCTTCCACTATAAAGTAGTAAATACTTAAAGCATGCAGAAAATCTCTACTTCCACCACTAACTGTGAGTCACAGTGCAGCCTGGAAATGAGTGTTGGCTGCCCAGATACTGAAGGGAGCCCAGGTACACACTGCTGCAGAAAACATTCCAGGCTGCAGGACAGCTTCATCCCATAAAGGGATTTATGGCAAGGGAAAGGAAACTTCAGGTCCCCCAGACAGTGGGGGAGAACCAGGAAAGAGAAGTTTCTCCTGAATCACCAAGCTGCCTTAACCTGGTGCACTTATTAAATGACAGAACATGGTTCCCAAAATGTAATATTTCACTGGCAATATTGTCCTTCTACCAGTTCAGAGCGTTCTCAACCACTTTGTAAAGAAAAAAAAAAAAACCACACATATCCATAAAACATTTTCTTCCAGCAGGAAACCTCTCCCCTCTTGACCCACACCTGGGAGGTGGGAAGACTTACACCCTTGCTGGCTGATGCATTTGCTCCTAAGTTTCTGCATGATGATCAAGTGAGAGGGCTATGCCTCTTCCTCCAAGCTTCCTCCTGCTCTTCACACCCCACATGTCCACTTTATTCTTAGCTACTTGCAGCAACCTCAAGAGCCTGAGCACACCAGCAAGTTCCTCTGAGCAAGGAGRGCTCTTCCTTACTGCTGCTCCCATGGCCCAGCTGCTGCAGAGAAGCTCAGCCCAGGTACTGTTCTTCCACCTGTTCTTTTATCTTTTACACTTTCAAGCAACCAGGGGGAGGGGAAAAATAMAAAGGAATAAAAGTAAAGAGTGAATTGGTGTGAAAACCAAGCACACAGTACAACTGCTGGATCTCATCTGCTGGTATGCAGCAGAGATTTTCACAGCCCACCCTTCATGGTTTCTTCTCTTTTTCAATTTTTTTCCTCTTTTTCTCAATTTCAGGAGCTGATTATGCTGCATTTTATTTGCATAAGCACAATTACCTGTGTTTACTGACACACACCGAGTGTTCGGTGTCCGGGGGCATCACTTCACTTCTGCTGCATCCCTTTGACTTGGCATCATAATTAGGCTTTAATGGATTCTGGTGGAAGCCAAATGCTTTTGTTCCAGGATTGTTTTCCCCTATTAGGCAGCTCTCTAACCAAATGGGACTGTGTTTCAGCTACTAATGAAAACATCACATTCAAGCCAGGCAGTGATCAGTGTGGGAAGCAGAAATGGACTCTTTGTTCTGCTACTCAACCTGCCTTCAGGTAGCACCTCACTGGAGCACTAAGGAAACTGGAAAAGGCTCCCCTGTAGTTTGAAAAGGTTAAAAAAAAACAACTCAGACCTTTCCTTCTGTGGCCCAGTTGTTGCACAGAGTGGGGTTTGGCCATGCATGAGCCACATTTTTCCAACTGCAACTCATTCCCTTGTTTCTCTCTTCCACTAGGCAGTTTTCTATCCAAGCAGGAGGACAACACATCCTCTTTTCTCAAGCACCAGCTGCAGAAATCTGTATGAAGCCAGACAAAGCTCTCTGGTTTTCACAGGCAGCCAGGCCAGGTGGCCCCAWCCTTCCCCAAAAATTCAGAGTTGCTGAGCTGCCTGCTGCTATCAATCCACCAAGAGAGCACAGGGTCTACAGGCATCACAGAGCAGCTTTATTTTATGCAGCTATGTTTGCAGCAGGGTGATTTGGGAACCTATCTGCTCTCTGAGACAGAGTGCYGGCATTCCAAACAGCAAACTAAAACCAGAAAAAGCCCACAAATTGCTTCATCAGTTCAACTTGACCTGTCAAGTGTCATTTAAGAGGAGACAAGTCTGCTTCAGAAGAATCACCAGCAGTCAGATTTTTAACTGGATGATGTAACAACAGGAGACAGCATGGGGTACACCAACAGATAAAACAGGAATGGAGATAAGACCCTCTGAAACACCACATGGATATGGACACTGTTCTCTAGAATTCAACATAGTCACTGAGGGTATCTCTGCCTTGTTACCCTGCCCCTAAATACTTCACCTTCCCTTTGACCTCTCTTGTGCTTTGTTTTGTGGTATAAAAAGCTATAGCACATCAGATTTAGTTKGTTATTTACCCCTTGCAACAGGTTAAAGTGTGCATTGGGGTGTGCACTGGGATATTCTTCCTTAAGGACCAAGGAAATCAACTCATCTGGAACCCAGMTTGGCAGAACTTGGCTTTACTTACTGAAATAAAATAACTGAACAGAAAAAAACCTTTGTCCAAATTGAACAAAGGCTAAACCCAGGGGAATCAAGCACCACCAAGTGATACTGCTCCGAAGGGAGCCACTGTGCCAGTATGAAGAGGGYATAAGACCTCCACCTCAAGAGCTGTGCTTGAAAGCTGATGGAACTGCAGAAAAAAAACCAGTGAATCTCTGCCCAAAGACTCTATTCTTCTCCATTTTTAATTTCACCTAAGTACTATTCAGCAGTCCTAAGAGATGGCTGGTGTTGAAGGTTGAACCCCCACTGTCCTTCAAGAGCTATAGTCTGGTTCTCTGTCTGCTTCATGGAAGACTGGAGACAAATGAGCCACTATTTTTTCTTGAGATGAACAATAACCCAATGGATCACTTGAGCCACTCTTTCCTTCATGCACCATCAGCTCTGTAAGTGCATTCAGACCATGCTCTGTGACTTCTACCTGCTCCATCTCACAGCATCCAATTRAACTGGTTCATAAAGACATGAAAATCTTCTGGCACATCTACAGCTGAGACTGTCCTCACGACAAGTAATTCCAGATGCCCAAATGCATCCACTTTGGAGGAGTCCTGTTTGTAGGAACTTGTGCTCTCCAATCTGTGGGCCCCTTTCTCTCTTCTCCCAAGATTTGAGACACATTTTAAAAATCCCTAGGATTTTTTAAATAATCTRCCCATGAAAACAAAATATCTCCCCCAGCCCTGACTCTYTACCTAGARCACAGGGGAGATGTGACCACTTGCYAGGCTGCTTAGAAATGTTTGCTGACCATGCTGAATTCATAGCAATAAAAACACAGGAATCTTTTCAGAATCAGGTGATGACTGAGAACTATGGGCCAAATCTGAAGTATCTCCAACCTGTAGTTGAGCTTCCCATGGCTCAACTACAGATCCCCACTGGCACCTTTCAGTGCCTCTGGGCCTTATGAGGTTCTTTGCTGMCAGGGGAAAATCCACTTAATTCACAGACCAACTCGCACATCAGCTTTCAGGAACAGCTCCAGGGCACAGCAGCAATGGCACAGATTGGTTTTAGAAGACCAGAGGGGTGATGTCTGTATGCCTCAGCCTTCCCCAGGCAGCCCTCCCTCTCCAAATATCCCAGGCACACCCTCTGCTGTAGCAAGAAGAGGCCCAGCAAAGCCTCTCCACACACAGGAGTGAAGAGAGCGAGCACCAGGGCCAGGACACACACACACATAGACACACATTACCTGGGATGAGGACTGCATTCACATCAGGATTATAAAAATAAACATAACACAATTAAAATGGGTATTTCTTCATCCTCCCTTTCTCCATCCCATCCATTCCCAGACCCTGCCCACATTTCTTACTGTTTTCCTGAACCCACTAAAATATTTGGGCAACACAGGACAAAATAGGGAAGGGGAGTATTTGCCAGGTAAACCCACAGAATGATGGACTTTCCTGACGTGATCACTCTTACAGAGGAGACAACAGGGTGCTGAAACACAAAGGGACAATATCCCTGTGCTGGCTTTTGCTGGCCCTCCTGGCTGTGCTCYCACTAGATGGCACATTCCAGAGATGGGAACTCCAGCCTCACACTCCCAWACTGCACAGTAACCAACCCCACCAGCTGCACAAAATGCAGCAAAACTACTCCTTGTGAGGAGAGGAGGAATAAYCCACCAGCCACATTTATAGCTGTTCCAAAGACAGGCTGAGGCAAGAGCTTTAAGAGCCTTTCCAAAATTCAGACAAYGTTGTATCTCATTTTTGTAGGCACCCACCTAAACTCCATCTCAGCTCCCGGGGGCTTCTTGCTTTTCTAGCACAATAATAATTTATTCATAGCTAATGACTGAAGTGAGKTATTTTATCAGACATGAGCTTTCTGTGTGCTGTGGTACAGACTATATTCCATATGCCAAGGCTGAGGACAGGTGTTCTCAGATCAAATCCTTTTACAGCCCTCTCAGGTCTCTTTTTACTCATCTCTTTTGTTAAGGCCTTTTCTCTCCCTGCATACAGGGCCTCTCTCCTCCCTTTACAGCACTCAGAGAACAGACCTGATGGCTTGGCAGACAGACAGAAACTGTAATCCCTGAATCCATGGCAGAGAAGAGGTGCTTACCTCCAAAACCTTACCCCTGCTCCTGTCTTAAAAGCACATTTTATACACAGAAATACCTCAGCAGTGAAAGCACCTGAAGACATGTTCAATACCCAGAGCAGTGATCCCTCTCCAGGGACTCACCTGGTCTCTTGATTGGCTTTTTGGTGGGGGTGTCCTTCCTTTTGTTCTGAATGGCAGGGGAATATGGCACCCCAGAGGAAGAGCTGTTCTTACGGAAATGGTCCTTCAGCCCCTTGATGGAGCGGTCCAGCTGCACAGAGCGGATTTGGAAGTAAACAGTCATAAAATCTGTGGAGACAAGGTAAAAATAAGATTCTAAGCAAAAAGGAAACGCTATATGGTAAAGCAAATACTTTGTGTCCCTAAGGGGATTTAATAGAATCGGTGTTGGACCCCAAGTCAGCATTTTCCCTCCCAGAGCCACCCCTGTATTCTTCAAAAACTTTTTCTCCCTCYCCCTGTAGCATTCATTCCAGCCCTCCCAACACACACAACGTTAATTCCACCACTACCAAGTGGTGGAACTGATAGGAGACGTTTGTGCAAGACGTTGTCAATTCAAGTGCTCAGTTTCCAGCATGAGACTTTACACACTTTTCAGGATTCAGGGCACTCAGGAATTTAATGAGATGCTCGTCATTTGAAAGCAAAATACAAACTGACTGATAAAATATGCTCTATATCCTTGAGTTGCCTTTGATCATGGAAAAATTTTTAAGAAGCTTTTAAGAATGTTCATCCTACTTGGTAGGCACAGTAATCCCCCCCTCAGGAGTAAATCATTGAGTGGGGGGTGATTCTTGGAGCTGCATGAATGYGAACATTCACATTTCCTGGACAAGTCTACAAAGTCATTCAATACCAAAAGAAAAGTTTAAATAAAGGACTATAAAGCTCTAGGCAGTTCTTGATGCTGCAGAACAGGAGAGACATATACAGAGTGAAAAAAGTCTGTGCTGCTTTCCCCCTGCCCTTGGTCATGTTTCATACAAAAAATTCTGTTTGTAAATATTTCCCAAATGGGATTAAGTGCCCAGTGTCTTAYACATTTATAAAATCTGAGCACTGGATACCTGCAGCTCCATCTGAAGGCATTATAGAAGCAAGTGCAGAGGATTTTTGCTACAGGACAGATTTTGCATTAAGATAATTTGKGCTTTATTTACACAGCTCATTCTGTTCAACTGACAAACCATCGCTTCAGTCTCACTACAAAGAAAAAGCAGCATCTTCAGGTGCTGGAAAGATGGAACTACTCAGCTAAAAGGTGCCACTAAGGCATCATTAAGGTGCCCASAAGGGAGCATAGGCAGCACCACCCACCCTGATTCCTGCCGTTCTCCACCAGCCAGCCCGAGATGCGGATGATGTCGTGCAGGACACTCTCTGGGAGGTGCTCCAGGGACATCTCCTCCTGTGTCTCCATCTCCTCATCCCCACTGATCAGGTCCAGGATGAGGATGGGTGGCACTGGTTTGGTGTGTCGYGTCATCAAGCTGCGGAATTCTGACTCCAGGGATTCCTTSCCCCGTTCAAAGAGGGATTTCTGGYACAAAACAGCAGGACAGGACTTCTGTAATCAGTCACTCATGACTGAGTAACTTTGCATAACAACATCCTTCCCAACCACTGTTGAGTACTGCATGCTTCAAACTGCAACCATACTTGTGTCTGAGAGACTTTCAAAGTGAATTAAATTAAAAAATTGCTTGGGAGTTGTTCAGTCTTCAAGTAGGATTTAAACAGATCACCCATTCTGCTCAAGCAGCTGAAGGACTGACAAGAGCTGCTCAGGAGGAGGTTCAATCATCTCTTCCACAGGTGCAAGAGCTGCTATCAGAGTCCTCCTGGCACRGCAGGGAGAGCAAAATGCCAGGAGCAGAAATGCTGCCAGTACAGACTTCAACAGAAGCCAATGCAGTCATTCTTTCAGCTGTGCCCAAACACCCCCTTTCCCAGGCAGCAAACCCACAGCCTCTCCCAGCAGGGGACAAGCAGCAGGGCTGTGTCTGTCCCTCTCTCATCCATGCCTGATTCCAGATCCATGACCTACCACACGGTTCAGCTCCGGGCTGTCCGGATTGTTGTCCTGGAAGTACTCCACTGCCTTCTGGATTTTGTCCATGCAGTTCAAGTATTCCTCCAACCTCCCAGTGGGGCTGTATATAAAACCAGAAATAAGAAGTAGTGTCCCAAGAAGCAAAAAAAGAAGACAACAAGAAAGGACCAGACCCCAAACTCAGGATGAAAATAACTAGGAAAATTTCAATCCCTATTTCTTCAACTAGGAGGAGATGATGGAATTCCCTTTTGSCTCCACTCAATGCCACAGCAAGGTACCCAATCCACACAAGTAAAGCAAGTACAGAAGTACTGATGATGGAGCAGAACACAACTCTAAGCCTTGCCTTCCTCTCCCAAACAGGCCCTGATGGAAAGCAGAGGGAACTGCACATCCCACCCAGAGAAAAGCCATCCAACCCTGTCCCCAAGAAGCAAGCTCCAGAACAGCTCTGGCTCATCCTGAAAGCAGTGACAACCTCAATGAGCAGGGASAGCCTTTGAGATAAGGACAGAGGAAAACAAAGAAGCCCCCAGGGCTCATGAGATTTCTATGGCAGCACCTCTGCAAAATCTGGAAGAGACACCAGAGCAGAGTCTGAGCTGTCTTTGCCCTCTGGGAATGGCTGAACGACAGGTCATTGTGAACTGTGGGTGAAGAAAGAGTGTGGAAAGGGCACCAAGCACACAACGGGTGTGTGGAGTCAGCTCCACTACCTCTATCTCAAAAATCCAATAGGATGAAGCTCCCAGCAAGATCTCTCTGCCCAACTCACCCTTCCTTTATGATCTTCTCTGTGTCCTTGGCCACATGGTARTAACTGATGACATGATCYAAGCAGGACAGGGTYTTCTCCACATTCTCCTGCAGGCGYTGCAGGTTCTCTGTCTGTTTATGGACAGGGATGATGGAGTTCTCCAGCTTCATCAAACGGCTCTCAAAGGAGGACAGGATCGAAACCTACACACCAAGAGGGAAACCAGTGGCTGAGGATTTCCTTCCAATGGATCCCATGCAGGGAGATAGGAGTTAGAGCAAGAAAATTAGGGACCTTCAGGATTCAGCTTCTCTTTTTGGGCTCTGCTACTAATTTGCCATGGCTCCTTAGCAGCTGTTTCCATCCCTCTATGTTCTGATTTTTAATAACAATCACAAAACGGATCACCTGCCAAACAGGGGTGTGCCAATCCTGCATGTTATTTTTGTAAAGAGTGAAGATAATGTTCTAAGACAGTAAAAATTTGTTTGTCAGCAGAAAATGAATCCWCAGGAACTGCCTGGAGGTGCCCCATGTAAAAAGAGCAACAAAAGCACAAACCAGGAGTCACTCTGCTGCACACCTCTGAGCYAAACAGGAGGTGAACAAGAACCAGTTCTTTTCCACCACAGACATTTGGTTTTTAAAGAGGACTGTGATACTGCGCCTGAAAGGTGGAAAACCATAGCAAGCTCATAAAAGGGTGCCTCAGTGCCACTTTTCTAGGCCAAAAGGTAATTCCTATGAGATTGACTCCTAYGTTATGTTTTCCACACTTCTCTGGCAGTGCTTCTATGACTTTTTTAAAGCATTGAGCCCAAAACTGGACATAAGCTGAGGGCTTACGAGGAATTACAGAACAATAATTACTTTTTACATTGACACAGAACACTCACAAAGTAAAACTCCAAACAAAACCTGAATTTATGAAGCAACAACACCATGCTGTTGCACAAACTAATCTGAGGTCTATTAATACCTTTTCCCCAAGAGAGAGGACTGACTGTAGCAGAGATGAGGCCAACAGCTCATCYGAGCCCTCAGCAGAGCAGGAGAAAAGCTCAGGACTGAAGCATTTCTCAGGTTTCCCCTTGGCTCAGTCACTGCAGCACAAAGTGATTGATTTCTCCATCCCTCAGATGGGCACAACAACAGCCTTGAAAACTAATAAACCTAAAAATCTAAGAAAAACCCCAGGCCCAACATKAGGACCTCCCTACCATGTTCTTGGTGAGCTGGTCACTTTTCTCGAGGCTCTCTTTGATAAAGGACAGAGTTTCTTCTTCCTGTCAGTAGGATGAAAAAATACTCTTGAATTCTGGGCACTATGATTAAAGTCACTAAACATGACACACATGTTTTTAAAAATCTTGTAAACACTGCTGCAAACGATGTTTGGTCTGATGCTGAGGCTACCTTTTAACAATAGCACTTCTTAACAGAAATCAGGGTAAATGACCCAAGATGGGGACACATCATGTAATGAGTGAAGGATTTATGGATTACTCCTTTCCCTTCAATGCAACGAGCCTCACTCAGCACAACATAAAATTAACACCTTTCCCACTGAGGCACAACGACTCAGAACATTTCCCTGCCACAGTATATGTGCTGCAYTGGCACTTCCCAAATCCCCTGGGARCTCAAGAGGTCAATGCAAAGCAGCCACCAATSTGATAAGTTGGGGGCTGGTTTTAAGGCATTAAAGCCCACAGATAGAGGGGAAGAGCAGCCCACAGGGGCTGCATTTACGTCCTTAAAGGCCACAGGTAGAGGGGGACAGCAGCCTGCCAGGACTGCTCTSGAACCTGACAGGAGACCCCAGTGATGCTCCCAGGAACGAACAGGGGGAGCCCAGGCCCAAAGTGGRGGGCAGAGATACCCCCTGACCCTGAAAAGCAGGCCTTGAAGGGATCCTGGGGGGCTACCAGGCCCGGAGGGGGATAACGAGGACCTTGAGGGATCCCGGGACGCCCCCAGGCCCGGTGGGAACCTCCAGACCCAATCTCGTCTCCCCGGCAACGCCAAGGGGCTGCGGGCCCGGGCCGAGCCCTCTGCCCCAGCAGCGCCCACAACGCGTCCCAAGGCCAGCCCCACCTGCTTGAGCTTGCCCTCGATCTCCCTCCTGCGGGCCGACACCTCCTCGCTCGGGATCATCGCGCCGGAGCCGCTCCGCCGCTCGGTGCCACCGCGCCCGGCCCGTCACTGCCGCGCCGCCATGATGGGCGCGGCGGGGCGCACCGCGCATGCGCAGAGAGCGCCGCTGCCATCTTGAGAGTGGCGCCACTCCAGGMGGGCCCGAGGCGCGGCAGAGGTGACGGCGCATGCGCGCTGCACTACCGGCCGCCATGTTGRGAGTGGCGGGAGGGCTGCGCCGCCATCTTGGGAGTGGCGGGATTGATCACAGAGCCAGGGGATCAATTATTTTGTACTCTGAGACCATSGGGGTCAACCTGTGACCCAACACCACCCTGTCAAGCAGACCATGACACCGAGTGTCACGTCCAGTCTTAAACATTTGCAGGGACTGCTCCTCCACCACCTCCCTCAGCAGCCCATTCCAGTCTAATCACATTTCTTGTGAAGAAATTCCTCTACATCTCTGACCTAAACCTCCCCWGGCGCAGCTTGAAATTATGTCCTCTCGTCCTGAGCGTGGCACTGTTGCGTAAAATTTTCTTAAGAAAGGATGTTCTTTGATCTTTGTATATTTTCAAGCCTAATCAACAATAAGGGAGATTTAATCTGTGAAAGAGGTAACAGCCAATAAGTCCTAAGTGCTGTCCAGGTGTTAGAAAAACAAATTGCTTATAGGTAGAATTGTCTTGTTAACGGTAAAGGTTTGACATTTCCCAATAATCTCAGGGGTAGGTTAACAAAGTTTGGGAAGAAGGACATGCTACTGATACCAGGCACAAAGAATGCAGAATTTACTCACCTATGAGGACATTTGACAGAATCAAGAAACCCACAGACCTAAAACAAGAGAAAGACAGAGCGCATGGACTAATTAGCATGGGAAGCAAGAAAACCATCSTCCAATAGAAGACAGTATAATAATTAATAAGAGAACTGTGTAACTTGTAGCAAATTAACACAAATGCCTTTGTCTGCTAAAATGTATAAATAGTAAAARATTTTGATAGTTGCCATGGCTTGATTTGTGRAATCCCAGCGAGCACCCAGGCTTGTGCAGCTCTGAAATAAATAATCAATGTCTCTCACAAGTGTGTCAYTATTGGCTCATTGCACTGGGAGTAACTAATCCGATTTTTGTGTGCAACAGATGTGGAGGGAGATTCCAGGGCTTTGGGCCCACGGAAGTGGAATTATAGAAATTTGAGTATGAATTATCAGCCCACCCCTGTGCTGCAGCCACTTTTTAGGGAGAATGGTTATCCCACAGGGGAGAAAATTTATCCCAGAGAGGAGCTGCCCCTGCAGCACAGTGGGGATGGCTGGGGTGTCACACACTGGGGGTTTTGAATCCTCCTAAGCCACACCAAGCCTGGAGCAGGGAGCTKTTTCTCCAGCACCTGCAGGTTCTCCAGCCCAGCTCCTGCTGTCCTGCTCCGCTCCAAKGGTCCCGTCTATCTTCCCCTTGTCAAACCACCCCAAGCTCCAGAGGGAAGCTCTTTTTTAATTCAACAGTGGATTTCACAGCCCGCCCTGTCCTGCTGCCCACGGCTGTGCCCAARCTCTGGCTCTGCTCTCCCTGAGTGACAATCACTGGCCACAACCGTGCTTTGTGGGGGCACCTGATAAAGGGAATCTTGAAGGTGTAAGAGAGAAGATCCCAGTCTAGACTCAGTGCCCAGCACTTTTTATGCTTCCACAAACTGGGATGGTGTAGTTGGGAAAGGTTTTTCTCCCTGAACAGCAGATCCATCTCTTTCTTCAAAGCATTCATAGTGTTTTTTCTGCCAGCACTCACCTCCTCATTCAAAAGGCAGCCAGAGCCAAAAGGAACCTCCCTTTCCRAGCCTGGGCAACAGCTGTGTGTGCTCCCCCCCAAAAAACGCTGTTTATTTCTTAAAAACCCACCAAAAAGGCTCCCTCACGCTTTATGGAGCGACAGTCCCTCCGAGCAAAGTGGGATAGATACACCCACCCCCCCATCGCAGCTGTGTGGGGTGATAAGGAGTGAATAAATGCGCAGAAATAAATGTACAGCATTGTGTGAAAACTGCCGGACCCTGTGCAAACGGGACAAAGCAGCAGCAATAAAAGAACGCTGGTTGAACGTAAAGAGTCCGAGGGGTTATTTTGGATAAAATGAGAAAGAAAGGGCAGAAATGCTGCGGTTTGAGAGGGTGTTAAAGCAAATAAAATAAGGCAAATAAAATGAGGCAAATAAGGCAAATAAAATAAGGCAGACAGGCGGGTKTGCGGGCTGTCCATCCCCCCAGCTCGGCGCTGGCTGTTTCCCCAGCAGCGGCTGCAGTTTGGCGACAATCGCGGTCCGTTCCCGCCGCTCTTCCCGCTCCGGGAGCGCTCCCCGCGCCACGAAAACCGCGCTGCCATCRGAGCCTGGCGTGGTGACACAGCAGGGACCGGGCAGGAATGCTGAGTCACCTTCTGCTTCCCCCTCCCAGAGGGACACAAGGAGGAAAAATCATTTTTTCCCCCTCTGGAGAAGGGATTTATACTGTCAGCGCGGGAGCAGAAAATTCAGCCAATGCACTGAACTAAGGATTTCATCCTCAGTGCAGCTGTTGGTGTGGAAATAAAAGAGCTATCGAGTCCCTTTTAGAGCATTTSCTACACAAAACTGATTCGGGCGCTCCGAACCCGAGGCACGGGCTGGGATGGGAGCCCGGCACCTTTGGGGTGTGGAGGTTGCGGGGTTCCAACAACGGCATCGCTCCGTTGTTCAGCAACGGGAGCTTTCACCACCGCAGGCATGAGGAAGTGGCACCTGCTGGCGGGGACGTGACAGTCGCTGCTCTCCGAGGACAAGGTGTTCAGGGCGTTGGCCGCCCAAAATGACACAGGAAAGAGAACTGAACCTGGTTAGCAGGGGGGAAACTGAAGGACAGAGAGGTTTTGCTTTGCCTGCTCAGGGTTTGGTAGTGAATCACTGGATAGACCCAGATATCCCCCCAAATGCCCATTTCTATGGATTGCTTTTATGGTGGTAAAGGTCATTGCACAAAAGTGTAATCTTGACAAGAGTTGGATAAATTCAATTAATAGTTGCTCTTAAAGCGGAGACTTTCTGTCCCCTGCATTGTGGCTCGGTGCTGCTCACCCCAGGAACATCTCCTGCATTAAAAAATAGTCATTTTATTGAAAAAAAAAATTGAATTATGCCTGTCCTTGCCTCCCASTGGCAGGGTTAATCCTGCTCCTGCAGGAGAGGACAGTGGGGAGGGGGCAGTGGGGATGTGACAGGGCAGCAGCATTCCCGAGCCACAGGAGCTGCCCYAGGATGCAGTGAGRGCAAAACAAGATTAATGCAGCCAGRAGCCTCCAAAAGGGTTTTACATTTGATGTGGGAAAGGAGAGAGATCAGAGTATAGAGGAGTCAGGATTRACATAAAATAACAAAATTTCCAGTCTGGGCTGCAGGTCTGTCCCGGGCTGTGTTCCCCCATGGTGTGACCCACCAGTGCTGCAGGAACACTTGGGAATACCATCACTGCTGTTCCCTCCTTTCCAGACACAGCCTGTTCTGTCTCCTCTCAAGTCAGATGGACAGAAAAAGTGATCAATCCTCAGCCAAATTAATCTTTTGCTGGAAAATCAATAGCTCTGAGCTGCCTGGCAAGCCCCCAGTTGTCCATTCTGGATGGGGTTATAAACGGGGACCCCCTGAAACAGGGAATGAGTGTGCACAGACAGGGCATGGGATRCCCCCAGGCACGTGCCCTTGGCTGCTGCGTGTCCATGAAGTYGCAGGGATGAGACAGGAACCAAATCCACCGCAGGACTTTGCCTCCCTGGTAACGCCCCAAGCCCCTGTGACTTCGCTTTGATCCTGACCTGGCTCCAGAGCACTGCCATGTGCCACGGGGATGTGCACTGCTCCCGGAAAACCGGGTCCGTGTGGGACAAGGGCTGGAACTCGGGCTCCTGARGCTTCCCAGTCCTTTCCCTGTGGCCATGAGAAGGGTCACGCCAGCACTGCTGCTCCAGGGAAAGGATATGGCATGTCAGGAATCGCCCTGAAACACTGCCGAGCAGGGAAATCCCTCCACAACCCTCCCTGCTCCTTGCAGGGGTAATCAGCCCCTTCAAGGCTGGCCCCAAAAATCCCCCTCAAGCCTTCAGCTATCACAGMCACAAGCTGTGCTCTCCCTCCCTCYGGCTTTATTTGTGGAGGGAATTAAGGTCCTGCTGGGAAAACCTCCCCTGTGCTCTGATAACTGCCTGCAGAGCCAGCTCTAAATGGCTTTTTGTAAAATGAAAGCCCAGGATTAACGAGGTTCCCCTCGTCACTGTTTATTTAGTGCTCTGCCAGAGTGAGGGGAACAGGAGAGAGACCCTCTGCTCTGGGCAAGCCTCTTGGCCCACCGAGGAGCTGGCACATATTGGGGACCAGCAAGGTGCCACCCAGCACATGGCAGAGCCTCCCTGGAGCAGGAGGTTCCCAGATGGGTTTGGAATGGGTGGGAGCCTCGGCCCAGGGGACAGGGCAATTCCAGGGCAYGGTGTTTTGTGAGCTGGGGCCAGGCTGGGGGCTGATGCTCATTTTCTTCCTACGCCACGTTGCTGGGGAAGGAAGGGAAGGAAGGAAGGGGGGTGTTTGCCATGCGGGTTGGTGCTGGGCACACATCCCCCATGTGACAGGAACGGGGAGGCCGTGCAGGGCTGCAGCTGGTGTCATCCCCTYRGCAGGGATTTATCAGGGATGGCAARGAKCTGCCCAGGGTCTGCTGAGGGGTGCAGCTCCAACKAGCCCCGTGCCGAGGGGACCCTCCCCGCTCATCCCTGTCCACCTGGGACAGGAGCAGGGGGTCCCTCCTGTGCCTGCTGCATTCCCAGCGACTGCAGCCACCTCAGCTGCCTCTCCTTGCACAGCTCCGACCTTTGGATGTTTGCACATTCCTGCCTGTTAATGTGTCTCGTAACCAAAAGCTGCCAGGATGGAGCGTTACTCCCCCCAGCACTGGCCAGGCTGCTCCTGCCCGTTGCCCAGCTGAGAATTGGCACTGATCCCATCCCGGGTGGGAGCACGGACTCCCCAAAGGAGCAAAACCGTAGCAGTAGATGAGAATCCCACCCCCAGACACCAGCGAGCCCAAAATGCTCCCAGAGCT